TTTTCAATGAGGTTTTGACGTTTTATTAATTTCAGTAGTGTACGAATACCCTAAATTAATTCCTCTATAAAAGGCTATTGACTCTAGGAAAAAAGAATGAGGCTTAATAATGAGCTAGTGTTATGGAATTGGAATCCATATTGGTTAAGGAAATCGGAATTCGTTCAACAACAAACATAAAGCACTTTCTTTCCTTTTTTTTTTTTCTTCCATATCATAACGGTTTTTAATTTGTAGCAAAATTTGCGACCACAAAATTGTTTAGAAAATGGATTTGAAACGTACAACACAAACAATCACGCGCGCCGCGCACGCGGATGTAGCAAGCTGACTGGAGAAAAGGGTGTGCTAAGAGAGCAACCTTTACCAAACTGAAAAGGAGGATAAGGGATACATAGAGCAGAAGCACTTAATACAAATGTTGTCATTGGGATTACGCAACTCCCATGGTTTGGAATTTTAGTCCATATTTGCTGCAAGCAGTCGTTATTATATTCCAAGATTATGCCAGTTAACGTCTGTATCTGTCTAGACAGATTTTGTTGGATGGTCAACACTCTAAATATCTTGTTTTGATAGGGTTTGATAATTCAGAGGTCCAAAACACACGATGTTTGAATCAATATCATTAAGTAAACAAGAGTTATTGCATCTTGACTCTCTGATCACAATTTTTAATATTGATGGCCGGTGCTTGCTTCATACTTAAATGAGTACAGATCCAAGTCATTGTCATGGCCATGTGTTTTAGATAGGGGAATTGTTGTTGGGCGGCCAGTATCATCCCTTAGCAAAGCCTAATAAGGATTAAAGTCAAATCACATTATGATGCTTTGAGCTGTATATTTACACACGTTCTGGGCTCTCACGCGTAATGGTAAGTGTTTGATCTAAAGAAATAATCTGTTACTTTTCTCGGGCTAATTAATGCTTACTGATATGTATATTATTGACAATTTATTGTGTTACGGTAAATAAAGATGATTTCACAGTAATTTCACATCATCTTAATTAGGTCTATAAGTAAGATTATATTCTTCGAATCCTCCCTTGAACAGAGATTAACGTAACTGTGACCAATTTAAATACTTACCCACCACCTTCCAAGACCAACAATTCCAGGATTTGGGTAGATATATAGAGGGCCAAAATGATAATAATTAATGAAAAAAATGGGAGGACTGAAGAATGAGAGATGGAATAAATTAAAATTAAAATTGGGAAGGAAATAAGGGAGCAGCATGAATTGGACAAGGTGCGGTGATGCAGTGGTGTCAGGTGCATGATAGAGAGCAGTAGGAGTAATAGTACAGACAGACAAACAGTGTTTGGTTAATAAGGAGGGGGGGAAAAAAAGAGGAAGAATCAAACATGACAGAGGTAAAACAGTACACTGACCAACACGATCACATAAACAAGTTATCTTTTCTTTTTGGCTTATGAATATGAATAATGTTAAGTACTCCCTCGCCTCTATTATGAGACATTGTCTTGTGACTTGTCCTTTACTTTCTTTGACATTTAATTACCAGCCTAGATAGCAGTTATTTTCTGTCTGTCTTTGTCTTTGCAGTTTAATTTGCAACCATTCCTACGTTGCCTGTATATCTTTTGTACTGATAATAATTAATATTTTCTGCCCATCTTGGCCTTCTAATACACCTTTTACACCATTGGGTCCTTTAATTATTCTTTTTCAACAGCCGTACATCTGATCAAGCTAAGCCTGGATGATTTAGAATCTGCTTCCACAACACAACCACCATGGTACTGCTGTTACGTTATATATATATATATATATATAACAAGAGAATCCATGTCCTTAATTTCTTCCTTGTTGAATTATATTAATGCAAGAAATGAGTATATATACAGATTACTTATCTTCAATCAGAACCATGTGATGGGATAGATATTCAACAATGTCTGCTTCCATGGGGAACCATGTGTCGTTGTGAGTTATCTTTCGTTGTTTATTGGCTTGCTGCAGAATCTATCTTCCTCACACCTTGACGGCTTTTTTGAAGTCGTTTTCTCGTGGTTGTATTGCAGAACATATTCCCCAACTTCTGTATTCCGATTAACTTATGACTTAAAAGCTAGTTCACTTATGGCACAGATGCATATGTACATACACACATCAGAGCACTTCGTGCAAGAATTGAAGACATTCTCTTTAACCAGCCTATTCTTTCTTTTAGAGCTTAATACTAGAGTATACGTGTTAGGATTGAAGAGAATTTTTTACTGAAAGAAAAGACAAGAACAATTTTAATTTAAACATTCGTTGATTTTATATTTAAATCTAGTAATTATTTTCTTGGCAAGAATATGTTCTCCCGAATATAAATTTAAAGGTGAACAAGTATCAAAAAGTCTAATTAATCTTAATGGTGACGAGCCAACTTGGACCTTCATTGTGTAGGTACTGATTGAATCTAAATGCAATATTTGAGCACAAGCTAAGCTAATTATAATTTACATTTAAATATGATAATAATTAATAATATGGGCTCAAAGTCAGTCTATGACCAGAAGTTCTTACTGAAGAATAATTAATGAAACTAGAACAAAATTTAACAAAAGGACAAAATGGTAGACAAGCTGGTTCTGATTGCATTTCCTGTTAATCAGAAAGTTGAGAGCGATTAATCATGAACTCTAACCAAGACGAAGGACTTTTTGTATCTGCAAATTTTGGGACCATTTTATTGTGCCATAATGGAATTCTTCTCTCGCTAGTAACCACTTGCTCACTCAATCTTCAGATGCACACTCAGAGTACTTTAGCTTATTTACACTCTCTCTTGGCTCCTGACATGGCTCTCTCTTCTCTATTCACCATTCATGATTTTTTAGAAATCTTTCTTTGCCTTCATTGGCAAAACAGAAGATAAATGGATAGGTTCCAGAGGCCAGAAGTCCAGAACCCTCTCCCACAGTTCAAAGGAGTAACTTGGCTTTTGTCATTTGTACTTCTTCATCCTCCTCCCAGCTCTTATTTTCTACTTTCATTGTTTTACTTGGCCTCCTAAACATAATAAATATTTTGTACGATGAAATGCTGCTGTCGGATCTCTCCATGACTGCAACTGATGGTATTTTCTACAAGTAATTGTTTTTTATAATTATTTTCCTATGTTCACGAAAACAGAGTTTCCCTTTAGAGCATGACATATTTCCAACTTTGAAATTCCCATGTAGCTCTTTTATATTTAAACATTTTTCATATATAATTGCTAGGTCAATCCATGTCTTGCAGATTAAAACGACACACAAGCCAGGATGTATTAGGGCTTTTCATGTCGTGCATATGTATCTGTGTGTTCGATTTCGATTACATGGTCAACAGATCAATGCGAGAATCTCTTGGAGAAAACTAGAAAAGAATATCTGTAGGCCGTAAGCTAGCTCCTTTCTCATACCCAAATTTCTCCAAACCTGTTTGGAGAGAAGAGAACTGTACTGACTACAGCATAGCACATGGCTGTAATTAAAAAGCATTCCTTGTTCGATTTCAGTTGTTTTTTAAAATCTTTTTCCATGAGACGATTTTAGGGTTTTTAAGGAAACATCTCGTATCCTCAAACTACTGTGAATGGCTAGAGATAAAAGCCAAAGGTGTGGGAAGTAGATAGTGTATAGAAGAAGAGAAAGAGAAGTTGTGTACGTTTCTGTATCTCTCAGAATTTATTTAGAAGAAATTAAAGCATGCTATGAAAACCCACTTGCATGTGGAAAATAATTCTCTAGTTGCTCCCATGCATATATAGCTAGGGTTATCTCTCTGCAACATTGTCTCTGTGTGTGGTCCTGTTTGTACGCAACGCCTGCATAAATGGTCCCTCACCTACTTGCATTTTTCTTTGTCCCATGTAGCCATCACGTCATAAACATCCAAAATCACAATCCTCACACACCACAACTTTTGAATCTCACTAATCATGCGAGCTTATCTAAAGTGGTTTTATCTTCTTCTCTTCGGATACCTTATACTTTGTTTTTTCCTTACCTTTTTCGATTCTCTCCTTTCATTCTTGTTCTTTCTTTTTCCGTTTGGAATGATTCAAATCTATATTCTTAAGAGATAATTGTGACCGAAAAAAAAAACGGTGACGTAGTTGCTGATGATATGTATGTAACTCCAGAAGTTGTCCATCAAAATTTTGAGAGTTCTTTTAATGATAATGAGATCAATAGACTGAGATTTATTATGCTACTTATTTATGCTTGTGTAGTTTTTTATATACGTACTGTAGACCCTTCTAAGTATTGACGTGTGATCTTCTGTCACAAACTTTTGTAGTAGTCGGATAAAGAATGACTTGCCACTTTTCCAAGAACACAAAGTTTAATGAAGGTCTTCGATCGTCTTAGGCTATTAATTGTAATCGTGTTAGAGAATAACATGATTGTTACAATCACAAATAAATTGTTTAAAGTACGATTACTTATTTTTTCTAGAAATTAAGATACTCACTCTAATGAAACCTTCGTAATTTTTTTTTTCTGGTAATATTAAGAAAAATAGTCAAGTCTAATTTGGAAATAATATTTTCTACAAACTTGCTGTAAAATTTTTTTTATCATACTTTGCAAACAGTTATATGAATCTACAGTGAAAGAGTCTCCATATATATGACAAATAGAAGCGCTCAATATCCTTGGTTAGTAATTATTTGACATAAATAAGAAGCGCAAATATTGCAGCATTTTATTGAATATAAATAGGTATAATCAGTCCTTTCTTTGTTTTGTTACAGGCTAATAGTTCTTTGCTCTCGAATAAACTATCTGACCTGTATTTTCAAAGGGTATAAACTGCTTATTATCAGTAATTAATTAATGTTTACTTTGACGAATTGTTCAATTTTGCACACGTGTATTTCATATTATATATAATGGCAGTCAGACGTCAAATTGATAAGAAATAGAGCGGCTAGTTAGAACACCATATTTATTTGACCAATAATGATGAGAGAGCCACGTGGCCATGTATGAGCCTTTGCTTTATCTTTCACAGCAGCGTGGTCGGTTCAATTCCGGCATCTAGCTTTTCCAACTTGCGGCCTCAGACTTCCTTCTTCTTCTTTTTAATCTTTGCATTCAAGCCCCATGTTCGTTACTAGCTAATTGGTATCACATAAACCAATCTTGATCACTTTTGATGCAAAGTCTTCAACTTTAATTTACACATATGGTGTCATCAGATAGAGGTATTTTATATATTATGTTAGTTTTCTGATCCAAAGTCTTCAACTTTACATACTAGGGTACTTCTTTTAACTTTCTGATGAAACTTTGTGCTCATGTTTTGTTCTTTACAATTGCCCTCTTTTTGGTTAGCTCTTGCTTTTCATGAGTGTAACTGTATTATGGCTTATGAGTTTTAAGAATATGTTTTCTGATCATTGTAGAACCGATTTATCCTCTGCAATGAACTCGGTGCTCAATTATTGCAGTTCATCAGCCCCCTTCATAATATGATTCATTATATGTATTTATATACATGTTAATCTGATCTATTCAGTTTTAGGAAGTCGATCATCATAGCTGGATCTTTGATCTGCGTTTTAATAGTTCACATGGTGTTCTTTTTATTAGAAGAGTAGGTTTGGAGTCCATTATATATATGAAGCATCTACAAACATTCTTGTCATCATTTTCAACTAATTTAATGTTTGTTTGTTTCCTTTTTTTTTTTTTTTGGAAGTAAACACTTGCTAGCAAGAAGAAACTGCAAGAGCTGAAATCACACAGGTTTGGACCAAAAATCCATGGGAAACCAACAAAGAGAGAGAGTATCATTATAAGATGATTAAGGTTCCAAAAGAGGCAGATCAACCGGAATCATCAAGTAATTATGAGAAAGCAAAGGCGTCATCAGCATCAGCATCGAGCAGCATGGAACCACAATGGGTGAGGTTGAAGGATCCGAGGATAGTGAGGGTAACAAGAGCCTTTGGTGGCAAAGACAGGCACAGCAAGGTTTGCACCATACGAGGTTTGAGAGACAGAAGAGTGAGGCTGTCGGTACCAACAGCCATTCAATTGTATGACCTTCAAGAAAGGCTAGGGTTCAATCAACCCAGTAAGGTTATTGATTGGCTTCTTAATGCTGCCAAGAATGACATTGATGAACTCCCTCCTCTTCCACCATTAAATCTTGCCCTCGTTCACCATCATGCTATTCTCACCTCTAATTCTCAGCCTAACGAAGAACATGGCTGGGAAGCTTCCAACAACACTTTCTGGAAATTGATAGAGCCCAAAGAAGCTTCCTCGTCTCATGATCACGAGGACAAAGTGAACGATGATGATGATGTTAAACAAGGAAGCAATAACGGTAATGAGTTATCTCATCATGCTGCACAAACTGTTCCGAATCATCAATACCACCACCACCATCATCCCTCCTTTTTTGGAAACCAGCTGTGGGAAGGTTCTGCAGGTGGTGAAGGTGTACATGTTTCTCATCAGACAGATTTGCAAAGCCTTAACGTTGTACCTTTCTCATCAACGTTGTCTTTGTCCACTGGGGATTCTTCTCATCATTTTCCTTCGCATTTGGGGGCGAACATGGACGTGGATAGTAATATTCCAAGACAAATCAACTACAACCATTATCCCATGCTGAGTTTTAGTTCAAATCTATATCCTATCTCTATGGCACAGTCCTTGAAACCCTTTGGATTGAGCATGATGACTCCTAACAACACCACAGAGAGCCAGTCACTTAACCATCATCTTCAGGATTTTCCCACCAAGTGACAACCAATGAAGCACACAAACAATAAACATGAAGCAATTACGGCTCGTGAGGAATGATAAGGTAAGCGGAGATCAATTAATATTCATTAACTACAGATAATTAATCTACTGGATCAGCTAATTTGCGTATACCATGTTTGGTAAATTGCTGCTTTCTACATGATTGTTATTGCTGATTACAAGTTTTCTGTTCAGTTTGAGTTAATCCACAACACCACTCAAAGTCTTGATAAATTGTTCAATTAATGCATGCGGCGATCAGAGCACACAGTACTGTACTGGACTGCCATCTTCAATGAATTGTAGCTCAGAAGTTGGGGTTGTGATGTTTTCTGTTGCAGTTGTGGATGCAGAGATATATATTATTACAGGCAAATGCATCAACATGAATAGAAATATACAGTTATACATACACATGTATATGCATATGTATGTCCCGCTGTATAACATCAGCTGTGATTATCAATATAAGTAATTTATGGTATTTGTACTTCATATTGTTGATTGATTTTATTTTCCTTTGTAAGTTAGCTGCTGAACGCATATGATCTAATGTGTTTTGAATGCAACAAGAATCAACACTAATATATGCTTTAATGGTATTGTTTACCACAAGTGTATGATTTGTAAAATAGTAAATGATAAATTAAGGTCATTTTCATGTAGAATTAATTTAATTGAAAATTTGATAATAAATTTTTCATTTCATTTAAGCCAAGCAAAGCAAGATTTATTGAAAATAAATGACACTAAAATAAAAGTTCGAACAACTACATATAATTAAGACAATTTAAGGTGGTTAATCCCCTTTTCACTTCATAGAGCATGTAATTATCCAAATAAATTTACTTAATATTAACTTGTTAATCTAGAGTATTAATAGGAATAATTATCTTTATATTAATTACACCATTTTCTTGAATTAATATACTATTCTTAACACAAATACCTAAGAGGCAAAAAGGCAGAAATTCACTCTAATGTGATTATATGGATCCGAAAGGTATATTCCTATTCTATTGGCAAATTAGAATAACTGTAATCTTACATTATTCAATCTAATGGTCAAATTCATGTTTTCCTCTTCTAAAGCAAAATCTAAATCCCAAATTTGCACTCAATAGTAGCCAAGTAGTAAATAGACAAATAAGTATAAGATTGAATAAACAAAACTAATATTAAACTCAAATAAATGATTCAAACATACTCTAATTCAAGAATTAATTCATAGCTAACCTAAATTAAGAGAAAATCAGCCACACATAGCTTCTATGATAGTAAAATCAGCAATATATATAGCATAGTAAAGAGAAGAAGGAGAAGAAAGCTTAATCAGAACAATTTTAAGAGAAACCCTTGATTTTCTATCAAACCCAAGCTTTTTCAACTCTCCTTTGGCTCTTTTTCCACTCCTTGGACGTTCTGCAGCTACTGGAAGTGAAGAATGCATGAAAATGAGGTGCCTAAACTCTAAAAGTTTACTGAAGATTAAAATTGTGTGTTTTATTAAAATCTTTCTTTATTACAGCGAACCACGTTTTCGCTGCAATGAACATGACCTATTCAGATTTTTTTTCAGATTTAATTTGTTTCACTTGGGCTCTAAAATTTTTATTTTTGGGCCCTTAAATTGAGCCTCCTTATATGCATAAAACCCGAAATTAAAGATAGAATTAGTCTTTTAATCACATTTTCAAACCCATATTCACACACAATCATCCACTTGATCATATTTTTGCTAAAAAATTTAAACAAATGACTTTCACTTATATTAAAAATACCAATAAATTCAATAAAATATTGAAATTCATCACTTCGACATTGCAAGAAAATATTGCATTTTTTTGTGAATAGAAGATATTGCATATTTTTTTAAGTAAAAAAATCTCAAGATGATAATCTTTACAGGTGTGTTTGTGTGTATCCAATTTACATGTATGATTAATAATTAACGCAACAGAATTTATGTACAATATGGAATACAATTTAAAAAAAAACTAAAAACTTTTAATGCAAAATATCTAGGCTCATGATAATCTCTGTTGCTTTTTAAACAGAAAATGCACATTAGAAGTAATCAAAAACAAAAAGAAAAGGAAAAGCTCATTTGAAGATTATATAAATGGGTACATGGATAGATCAGCAAGGTAAATCACAACAGAACCTGCTAAAAAGTAGCTTACTAAGAAAGGCTTAGGTTAGACTTAATTGAGATACCATTTTTATATAAAATATTACCAATATTTATAATATAATGCATGGTAAAGAAGCCGTAACATAAAATATAAATGAATTCATAACAAGTTGCAATGTGTCAACAATGCAAGTTATTTTTTAACTCCATAAATGTTATCATGATTGTTCTTTTCATCGAGAAAAGGTAAATGCATAGACCATAAAGGCCAATATACATTTCATTAAATTTACTAGACACAGTGAATATTCTCCCATAAGTTATGTGCTGTCACATTTTAATGTACCATAAGCAGGGTGAAATTCTAAAAGACCAAGTCAGATTGTTCAAAATAAAATTTGGATTTGAATATATTTAATTGCATAAATAATAAATCAAATCTCAAAGATAATGAGTGACCCAAAAAAATAAAATATATATTTTAATGTTTTTTTATCATGTTTATTTTTATTTTATCTTAGATAAAAGCTACAACTTACTTCAGAGAATTTAAATAAAATATCTTACTAAAATTCCCTAAATATTTGCCTTCGCATACGTAAAATAAAAGGCCCATAGTCAGTAATTTTGTCTTTGGGCCTGCAGGGTCATGGTTAGCGTCGGATGCCCCCCTTGCAATCTTATTTAAAACATGTTAACGGACTTGACGCTCAAAGGAACTCAAAACATAAACCCGAAGTCGCAACCTGTAACTAAATACTTCATTGTTTTGTAGCATCAATACTAAAATCGATAAATCAATGGATGATTTATTTTATTTATTCAAAATTTTTTCGGGATAATCGATCGCAGACAGTACAATGGCATTATTTCGTGACCCATATGATCCTATCTAATTAAAGAAGGCTTTTATTCTTCTTGTTAAAAAAAAAAAAAAATTACTCGGCATTTCAGACAAAATTAGGCCTACTTTTGAAGGGTATTTTGAGACCCAAAACATGCTGGTTATAGCGAATAGCGAGAGCGGCTTTATCAACAATAATGTGTTAATACTTCCAAAATTTTAAAATTTAACCTCGCTAGAATTCATCAATTAAAAAAGATTGTTAGCTAATTGAAAGTTTTATAGGTGAGGAAATACTAGAGAAAAGAATATTTAGAAGAAAAAATTATTTTAAACAAAAACTAATATATTAAAGATGAGAGTATTAGCTATAATCAACACTAACGATAACAGAATCATCGTAATAGTTAATTTTAATGAAAACATAAAATAATAACAATACAAATTGAAAAATTAAAAGGCAGTGGTTAGCCACAGCAGTCTGCATGTAAATGATAACTAAAAACGACAGGTGTCAAAATTTCCAATACAATCGTTTCGCCTTCCAACTAAAATAAACAGAAAAGATGTATCTAGGAATGGATTACAACTTTCATCTTTTCCTTTCGAAGTAGTCCGACTCACAATAAGCCTAATTCTTCAGACAAATATCTCTCCAACAAGGGGTCCTTAGCGAACCACCACGCCTTGTGCTGCCTGAGAGCCATCTTCCGTTATTTTGTTAGCTTGAATGGTGCTGATCACGTTAGAAATATTGCCCTGGTAAACCAGAAGGCTTGAATCAAGTGTCAAGAAGAGATTTTTTTTTTTTTTTAGTTGCTTCCAATTTTTATCAAGAATCCAACCACCACCAAGAAAACATACCACAGAAACAACATTAATCTAACCAAACGTCCTCCAATACACAGTTGTCTTTTCAGTGGCAAATAAAAAAAAAAAATTGTAGTTTAGAAATTTACCCTCCATGTGGCTAGTTTTGTTCTTAGTGTTTGCCACTGGCGCTGCCCAAACACACGATCAGTATGATGACTGCATTATTAAATTTAGGTCAAACAGTGCCCATTATTAATTAAATAAATAAATAATAGTTAAACAAGTTAATCACAAGGTACTGGGTCAGATATAGCTATATAGCAACGACTGACAGGAGGAGGGGGGATGGAGACAGAACAAACCTGACAATTACAACTTGATTCATTTGGTCCATCTTACAGTCAATCAACTTGGCAGTGATCGTTTTAACCACCCATAGTTCCACCTCATCGTCATTGATCTGAAAGGGAATTTACAATGTCTCATATAAGATAGAGAAGAAAGAAAACGGCCAACTACAACTAAAAGGTAAGCTAGTGCAAATACCTGAAGTGTGTCCCTAATAAGTGCATATGGAATTTGGCCAGATCCGTCAGAGGCAAGATCCACCAAAGACATCAGCCTCATCTTGGTAATACATTCTTCATGGACAAGATCTGAAGACATCCATTAGATGTTTTAGTTATAAAGCGAATAGATATAAAGCTTTGCACATGCAACTAAAGACAATACTCTGTGACATGAAATTACCATAGTTTTTCAACAAAGCAGAATTTGCAGCATGAAACTCCACGTATGCATCCAGTGTCTGAGTAAGGAAAATTTTGAGTAGCTGATATACTGGAGCATATTTTGCATCCTTCTCTAATTGCCCAACAGCCGGCATGTCTAGTAAATCACACTGCAACATGACAGGAAAAAAACCATTAAAGTTTATCCAGAACTTGTGATGAAAGACTTGATGAAGCAGATGACTTCTACGGAAAGAGGGGGAAAAATGAACAGATCATAATACTCACAGCACAAAATAATTAGAAAACAAATTTAGGTCCATCCATAAAACAAAATAGCAGGGCGTAACAAAAAATGACGGAGCTAACTTTTCATTCAAGACTCGCAAAACACAATAGAGGGCAGAAAAATGATGGGCTTTGTTGAACTCTAAAACCCGGGAGTCTACAGCAGAGATTCATGCATATATTTAATATTTGACTCCAGTTTATCAGAAATAAGTAAAAAAAAAAAAAAACCAACCCATGGGCCATAGTTATCACTTCAAATTCAACTAGACAATTCTACTGGATAGAGATTCACAGAGGAAGCATTGAATCTCAATAAATTGACAGCAAGAAGGCATCTGGTCACCTCAAGTATTTAAAATTAGGCAACAAAGTATCACGTGTTTTAAAAATTGTCACTATTTTACTTCTGCTGCACTCACCAAGGAACAGAGAAAGTCAAGCACCCTCAGTGATAAAGACATAAGAAAAATAGAGTTTAAGAATACTGACATGACTTTCAAAGATAGCTACACACAGTTGGAACAGAAGCATCAAGATTGGCATTTATCAAGAAAAAAGCATTTAAACAATAGCTCCTGTGATCCTTCAACTTGCATGCAATCAAATACTCCCTCCATTCCTATTTATAAGGCAGCAAGAAAAGATTTTTTTTTTGTCTTATTTATATGTCACCTCATTAAAT